CTGAGTAGAGGAGTTGTTTAAGGTGTCTGAGTAGAGGAGTTGTGTTAGGAGTCTGATTAGAGGAGTTGTGTTAGTAGTCTGAGTGGAGGAGTTGTGTTAGGAGTCTGAGTAGAGGAGCTGTGTTAGGAGTCTGAGTGGAGGAGTTGTGTTAAGAGTCTGAGTAGAGGAGTTGTTTAAGGTGTATGAGTAGAGGAGTTGTGTAACGAGTCTGAGTAGAGGAGTTGTGTTAGGAGTCTGATTAGAGGAGTTGTGTTAGGAGTCTGAGTAGAGCAGTTGTGTAAGGAGTCTGAGTAGAGGAGTTGTGTTAGGAGTCTGATTAGAGGAGTTGTGTTAGGAGTCTGAGTAGAGGCGTTGTGTTAGGAGTCTGAGTAGAGGAGTTGTGTAAGGAGTCTGATTAGAGGAGTTGTGTTAGGAGTCTGAGTAGAGGAGGTGTGTTAGGAGTCTGAGTAGAGGAGTTGTGTTAGGAGTCTGAGTAGAGGCTTTGTGTTAGGAGTATGAGTAGAGGAGTTGTGTAAGGAGTCTGAGTAGAGGAGTTGTGTTAGGAGTCTGAGTAGAGGAGTTGTGTTAGGAGTCTGAGTAGAGGAGTTGTGTTAGGAGTCTGAGTAGAGGAGTTGTGCTAGGAGTCTGAGTAGAGGAGCTGTGTTAGGAGTCTGAGTGGAGGAGTTGTGTTAAGAGTCTGAGTAGAGGAGTGGTTTAAGGTGTCTGAGTAGAGGAGTTGTGTAACGAGTCTGAGTAGAGGAGTTGTGTAAGGAGTCTGAGTAGAGGAGTTGTTTAAGGTGTCTGAGTAGAGAAGTTGTGTAAGGTGTCTGAGTAGAGGAGTTGTGTAAGGTGTCTAGAGGAAGAGTTAAGAGGTCTAGAGATATAGAGGAGAGTTAGAAAGTTAGAATGAGAATTATGAAGTTAGTAAGAATAGTAGTTTAGGTTTGTGTAGTTTTACAGTTTATAGTAGGAAATAAGCTTGGAGTGGAGAGATTGAGTTCACAATGTTGAGGACTTGTAGTGTCCGACAGTAGCGACATTATAGAAAGGTGATACTGGTGGCAACAGGACGGAGTTAATAGAAACAAACGTAACACTGGTGGCAACAGGACGGAGTTAATAGAAACAAACGTAACACTGGTGGCAACAGGACGGAGTTAATAGAAACAAACGTAACACTGGTGGCAACAGGACGGAGTTAATAGAAACAAACGTAACACTGGTGGCAACAGGACGGAGTTAATAGAAACAAACGTAACACTGGTGGCAACAGGACGGAGTTAATAGAAACAAACGTAACACTGGTGGCAACAGGACGGAGTTAATAGAAACAAACGTAACACTGGTGGCAACAGGACGGCGTTAATAGAAACAAACGTAACACTGGTGGCAACAGGACGGAGTTAATAGAAACAAACGTAACACTGGTGGCAACAGGACGGCGTTAATAGAAACAAACGTAACACTGGTGGCAACAGGACGGCGTTAATAGAAACAAACGTAACACTGGTGGCAACAGGACGGCGTTAATAGAAACAAACGTAACACTGGTGGCAACAGGACGGCGTTAATAGAAACAAACGTAACACTGGTGGCAACAGGACGGCGTTAATAGAAACAAACGTAACACTGGTGGCAACAGGACGGCGTTAATAGAAACAAACGTAACACTGGTGGCAACAGGACGGCGTTAATAGAAACAAACGTAACACTGGTGGCAACAGGACGGCGTTAATAGAAACAAACGTAACACTGGTGGCAACAGGACGGCGTTAATAGAAACAAACGTAACACTGGTGGCAACAGGACGGCGTTAATAGAAACAAACGTAACACTGGTGGCAACAGGACGGCGTTAATAGAAACAAACGTAACACTGGTGGCAACAGGACGGCGTTAATAGAAACAAACGTAACACTGGTGGCAACAGGACGGCGTTAATAGAAACAAACGTAACACTGGTGGCAACAGGACGGCGTTAATAGAAACAAACGTAACACTGGTGGCAACAGGACGGCGTTAATAGAAACAAACGTAACACTGGTGGCAACAGGACGGCGTTAATAGAAACAAACGTAACACTGGTGGCAACAGGACGGCGTTAATAGAAACAAACGTAACACTGGTGGCAACAGGACGGCGTTAATAGAAACAAACGTAACACTGGTGGCAACAGGACGGCGTTAATAGAAACAAACGTAACACTGGTGGCAACAGGACGGCGTTAATAGAAACAAACGTAACACTGGTGGCAACAGGACGGCGTTAATAGAAACAAACGTAACACTGGTGGCAACAGGACGGCGTTAATAGAAACAAACGTAACACTGGTGGCAACAGGACGGCGTTAATAGAAACAAACGTAACACTGGTGGCAACAGGACGGAGTTAATAGAAACAAACGTAACACTGGTGGCAACAGGACGGCGTTAATAGAAACAAACGTAACACTGGTGGCAACAGGACGGCGTTAATAGAAACAAACGTAACACTGGTGGCAACAGGACGGCGTTAATAGAAACAAACGTAACACTGGTGGCAACAGGACGGCGTTAATAGAAACAAACGTAACACTGGTGGCAACAGGACGGCGTTAATAGAAACAAACGTAACACTGGTGGCAACAGGACGGCGTTAATAGAAACAAACGTAACACTGGTGGCAACAGGACGGCGTTAATAGAAACAAACGTAACACTGGTGGCAACAGGACGGCGTTAATAGAAACAAACGTAACACTGGTGGCAACAGGACGGCGTTAATAGAAACAAACGTAACACTGGTGGCAACAGGACGGCGTTAATAGAAACAAACGTAACACTGGTGGCAACAGGACGGCGTTAATAGAAACAAACGTAACACTGGTGGCAACAGGACGGCGTTAATAGAAACAAACGTAACACTGGTGGCAACAGGACGGCGTTAATAGAAACAAACGTAACACTGGTGGCAACAGGACGGCGTTAATAGAAACAAACGTAACACTGGTGGCAACAGGACGGCGTTAATAGAAACAAACGTAACACTGGTGGCAACAGGACGGCGTTAATAGAAACAAACGTAACACTGGTGGCAACAGGACGGCGTTAATAGAAACAAACGTAACACTGGTGGCAACAGGACGGCGTTAATAGAAACAAACGTAACACTGGTGGCAACAGGACGGCGTTAATAGAAACAAACGTAACACTGGTGGCAACAGGACGGCGTTAATAGAAACAAACGTAACACTGGTGGCAACAGGACGGCGTTAATAGAAACAAACGTAACACTGGTGGCAACAGGACGGCGTTAATAGAAACAAACGTAACACTCGTGGCAACAGGACGGAGTTAATAGAAACAAACAACACACTGGTGGCAACAGGACGGCGTTAATAGAAACAAACGTAACACTGGTGGCAACAGGACGGAGTTAATAGAAACAAACATAACACTGGTGACAACAGGACGGCGTTAATAGAAACAAACGTAACACTGGTGGCAACAGGACGGCGTTAATAGAAACAAACGTAACACTGGCGGCAACAGAACGGAGATTATAGAAACAAACGTAACACTGGTGGCAAAAGGACGGCGTTGATACAAACAAACATTACACTGGTGGCAACAGAACGGCGTTAAAAGAAACAAACGTAACACTGTTGGCAACAGGACGGAGTAATAGAAACAAACGTAACACTGGTAGCAACAGGACGGAGTTAATAGAAACAAACGTAACACTGGTAGCAACAGGACGGAGTTAAAGAAACAAACGTAACACTGGTAGCAACAGGACGGAGTTATAGAAACAAACGTAACACTGGTGGCAACAGAACGGAGCTAATAGAAACAAACGTAACACTGGTGGCAACGGAACTGAGTTAATAGAAACAAACGTAACACTGGTGGCAACGGAACTGAGTTAATAGAAACAAACGTAACACTGGCGGCAACAGAACGGAGATAATAGAAACAAACGTAACACTGGTGGCAACAGAACGGAGCTAATAGAAACAAACGTAACACTGGCGGCAACAGAACGGAGCTAATAGAAACAAACGTAACACTGGTGGCAACAGAACTGAGTTAATAGAAACAAACGTAACACTGGCGGCAGCGGTCGGATTAGTAATATAAGAATACGTAACACTTTATCATAGCTGGTAGAGGACTAAGGATTGCCTTGCAAAACTTTGCATTGTTACAGATCGTCATTTATTTGTTGAAAACCTGATGAAGAACATATGAGTATTTTTTCAGACGGTCAACATATTTATTAGCTTTTTTTAGATTTCCTATCTGTATTTTAAAGAAACGGGTTTGTGACATGTTTCAGTATTCTAAATAAAAATAATTTTACCAATATGCTGTTGAACTAATTTGTATTTAAAAATAGTTTTTATACTTTTACCAAGAGTTTGTCCCCTTTAGGTACTTGCCTGTGTATATACACACATGTACATGTCCTTCTATGCTGTTCACATTTCCTACTTTTATCAAGTTTTTGCACAACTAAATGAAAATCACAAATCAAAGTGTACAGTATCAGTGATACTCTGAATAGGACTGAAATTTAAGATAACCTCTGATGCTAACGATTGTTTTCAGTATATGTGTTAGATCTATTTGATGTTCAGCAGTACCGACAAAGTGGATTGAGTATTAAAACTATTTTTGTAAACGTTAAGAAAAGAGTTGCATTTTCATTATCCCTTAATGGACTTTAAGGTGTTGACCAATTCCACTTAAATCTCGGACTTAAGCAAGTACCAATAGTCTTGCTTAAATCCACGATCATATTTACTAATTATATACATGTCACTTTATAAAAAAGATACCTAACTGTTAAGCTTAAATACTTCAATTGTCTAGTTCTTTAACTAGCTCTTTCTATACATTAGTTAGGCCTGCTCGACTGCTTCATCAACAACAAAACGAACGTGATCGGTTATTGTGAAAGTAGGCTAGATCATCAATGTAAACATCACCCGGGCAACGATAATAAAAGTAGCGTTTTCGTCTGCGCGCGCAACAGTGTCATAATGGCGTCCGACCAAGACGTTAGTTAGCTTCTGTAGATACCAAAAAAAAAAATAGGCAAGCTGAAAAGGGATATAATCACTCAGTGATACTTTACCGAACTTTTACAAGATGGTAAGTTTTTTATCGTTTATGTCGTAGTATAAATACTTTTCCTACTTGCAGGGGTGGGTTGTTTTTCGGATACGAAGTGGTGAGAAGACTTGGTAACTTACTAAGTTACATGATCATGAATACCGCTCGATCGGCACCTGTGCTTTGTGTAACGTTAATGCGTAGCTTAATAATAATTATAATAATATTTATTCATGTAAATGGCCGATATTACACGTATATAACATTTTGCAAATTGGACATAAATATGTATATTATCATAGATGTTATTTATAAGTTAGTTATGTCATAGAAGTTACTGTAGAGCTAGTAATAAATCGCTATCAGTCAGTGTTAAAACTGGATTGGATTCGATTAAATTTAGGACTTTACATGGGAAGACACATACAGCCAATGGGGTCCCTTACACGTAATGTTGTGTGTTACTGTACAAACTACTTGTGGACCAACTTGTGTTTTTCATTACTTTTTGTACAGATTATAATGACACATATTATAAATTGATACCATATATCCTTCGTATGATGGGGATCACAGTCATCACACCATATACCGCTCCCCGAAACAGGTAGATTTGGCTTTAAGTAGTCAAATATGGCTACACAAATAAAGGACGAATTGTTGACCAAACTGTGTGAGTTGAGTTTGTGAAATAAAAGATTATTTTCTGATTACACAATTTTATTGGATTTGGTGAATTTCCATCGTGCTTTTCCTGTCATCAAGTGTCCATTATCAGTATAAAAGTATAACATGTGTCAATTCAATAGGGTGTCAATGTCTTCCTGTAGATTATAAGCATCCTGAATATTATAAGCAACCCAAAGCTTCCAGGATCATAAGTGACAACATGCAATGAAGGTTTTTTCATGTGCCGAGAGGGAGTAAAATATTTGGCGGTTTGGTACAGATATTGTTAATATTGTAGTAGGACGAGTAATAGTGATAAAGATAAAGCTGGCGCTGGATCAGAGGAAACTCGTCTATGTAATCAGCCTAATTAAAGCACCCACATAGACTAAGCTGTCAGAAAATTTATTCGGAATGGATGCAGAACTTTCCACAATTCTTAAAATTAAGCCACAAAACACACCTTTTTTCAAGTACCGTATAAGGTGGTAAATTATGGTGAAAGGCTGTGTTCAGAACAAAAGACAGGGTGCTGAAGTAAGGGATTGAACATTTCTTTTGATAAAGATTGTTTCAAAAATCAAAAAAGTGTGCACACATTGTTGGGATACTGTATTTGTTTTTAAAAATCTTAAATTCAGACAGTTTTTATTAGTTTCAGTTGAATTTTATGTTTGCTATTTAATATTTCTACAAATTTGGTGTATGTTATCCGTTGAATTTTTGGTGAAATCTTATTTTAATCAATTTTAATCAATTTTAACTGTCATGATATATGATAGATCATTCAAAATGAAGGTACACTATACAGGTGTTTTGTTAACATGGTATTAGTAGTACAAGTGCAGGCTGGCATTGTAATGGACATGATGACCCTCGATCCAGCCTGCATGTCGTGATAACACTCAAGGCGGAGTATACAAATCCTGAAAGCTGCCTGGAAACCATACAACTGCTCATTTCTTTTCTGCTAATCTACCATAGGTGTGGGGAAATCAAATTTAAATATCATTGAAGAATATTAAAAGGCATATTCATAGTCTGGCTGTCATTACTGTAAAGGATGGTGTCTATTATGGACAGGTAAATACACTGTTATTGACAAATCTCTAGAACGTTGAAAAGATGGAATATCTCATGAATAGGAGTATTCTTAAGGACAAATCTAAGTGCTGTACATTATGTGTTTGATAAGTAATTTATTGCTGGGTGACTCAGTGGTATAGGAACAGTTTGTTTGCTATAAAAATAGAATATTAAATAGTTTTTTTTATTGAGTTTTGTGTAATGATTGCTATATATGATGAACTATATGTGTTGTTACTATTCTACTTGCTGGGTATATAATTTCACTTTGTTCATATTTAAATAATTCAGTTCAGAAATAAAAGTGAAAGGATTAGGTATTATCAATATCCACTAGTGCTGACAATGTTACTTATTTTATTTTCATCTTTTTTCACTACAGTGCCATCAAACTGAACTGCCACAATTAATTACAGATTATACAAAACTAGTAATTACACAGAAACGTATGCCTCAAGTATTGTGGATTTCAGGTATAGACAGGCGTAAGCTAAATTTCGCAGTGGTAATTTAAAGCTAAGCATTGAAACTGGTCGGTATTCTCGCCCTAAAATACTTTTAGAAGATAGACTTTGTACATTTTGTAATTTAAACTGTATTGAAGACGAATGCCATTTTCTGATTGAATGTGATTTTTATTCAGATATCAGAGCTCATCTTTTTACAACAGCAGAACAGATTGTACCAGGTTTTAACTATTTTAACACTGTACAGAAACTTAATGTCTCAATGAATGAACCTAATTTACAATATGTCCTGGCGAGCACAGTTCATAAGATGTATCGAAGAAGAATGTGTTTTAAATATTAAGTCTTAACCTTTTTTTTTTTTTAATATCTATGAACTGTTTTTTAGTATTGATAAATTACGTCGTTTTAACGAATATCTATAGTGTCTCGTAAGCTTCAGTATAGGTTGGGTGTCAATCATATATTGTTGTACATTTTAGACCATGCTTGTATTATGTATTTTAAGCAAAATTGACATACATGTCACTTTGATAAAATAATTTGTATTGTATTGTATTAAATTATTATGACAGGTTCCATTTCACCGAGTCACATTTTTTGTCTGTCGAAGGCTCCTTAAAGTAACACCTTCGCCACTAGCCAAGGATTACGATCTGGTACTGGATCATAAACCTTGGCTAGTAAAAGTGTATAGGCCTGGAAAGACTTACAGAAATAGAGATGTAGATGACAACTTCAATCTATGTAAAACGATTAACTATGTGTTGAAAGCAGTTTTCCAATATAAGCTTTGATAAAATCATTTCTGAATGGAAACCCATACCAAGTCATTATGAAAAAGTAGTAAGGTGAAATAAACACAATGTTATCAACAACGTTGTTGTAAGAGTAGCAGGGCTGTAGACAAGGATTCAAACCCTGGACCCCAGAGTGTTATAGATGTGCTGTTGTTGTAAGAGTAGCAGGGCTGTAGACCAGGATTCAAACCCCGGACCTCAGAGTGTTATATATGTGCTGTTGTTGTAAGAGTATCAGGGCTATAGACCAGGATTCAAACCCTGGACCTCAGCCTGTTATAGATGTGCTGTTGTTCTAATCACCTGAACTATCTAGTCAATGTAAGTGACTGGCCCAGCTGTTACTGTTACATTATCTAAAAGAAATTATTGGGAGGTTACTGTTTATACACAAAAAACCCTGGTTCAATGTTACAAGGATCCCTTATTAAGCAACGTATAAATTACTTTGTTCTGTTACAGATGTAAAGAATGATTTGGAGGAAGAGGAAGAAAAGAAGTAATAAGATTTTTTGCTGAAGTGATAAGGACACATCTGCCATAATGGCAGACGGGAAATATAAGTGTCATGATTGTCACATGACTTTTGATTCTACGCAACTTCTACAGAAGCACAAAAAGAAGTTCTGTGTTGGTGGAAACATCGGAGACCCTGACAACCTCATGCTGAGAAAAGGGCTGTGGTCTGCGGGCACCCCCTCCCCAACCCCTCATTCTCCTGATGTTGTAAGTCCCCAATCAGTTATTTCTCATCATAATCTATATTCAGATCATAGTCCATATTTTGTTTTGGTATGGAAAGGTTTATTTAGAATATTGCCTTTTTTCTTCCATCTTTACGGAGTTCTAAACAATGAGCACCATTTAAATACAGTTGACTAATAAAAACTGCCATTAAATGTCAGCTAAGACTGATCATATCCCTTTGAACTAAAAGTGGTCTGGTGAAAATCTGGTTCAAAGTGAATCTTGATTTTCAAAATTGATCATCTTTCATTTCTAATTAAAAATAGGAAACAATTATCAAGTTGAAAAAATAAATACATACACTGAGAATTTTTTCTCAACTCTTTGTTCATGCAGTTTACATGAAGTAAATGATTAATTAATAGATCTAAATATAGTATCACACAATACTATATTAAAAATTTGAAAAAAAGGACTAAATGGAAGCAGGATATGATTAAGAAGTTGATGTTTTTTTACAGAGGAAAGCTGAGAAGAAGGTGAGTGAGCGCTGTAACACTCGTTCTGTTTGTGATGTGATCAGTGAGCGCTGTAACACTCGTTCTGTTTGTGATGTGATCAGTGAGCGCTGTAACACTCGTTTTGTTTGTGATGTGATCAGTGAGCGCTGTAACACTCGTTTTGTTTGTGATGTGATCTGTGAGCGCTGTAACACTCATTTTGTTTGTGATGTGATCTGTGAGCGCTGTAACACTCGTTCTGTTTGTGATGTGATCTGTTGACTTCGAACTTATTAATACTTACTTTGGTTTGAATTTCTCCTTCTTTCTCTTGTAATATTTAATCACTTCTCCACATCCAAGTCCATGTGAGTTCTGCTAAATCATGGTCAAGATTGATCAATTGGACTGGGTGTAATGTCAGGCTATCAAACTGAGGTTCAGGTGAATTTGGCTTTACAAAAGATGTGTTTTAAAGAGTACCATGCCGCTAACCTTAAACTCTTTTTTATCAAAAGGATAAATATGGATTATCTTCTCTTTCTTACCTAGCAAAGGTCATCAAATTTTCATTAATACCACACTCACGAAGTAAAATGTGTTGATACTACACTCACGAAGTGAAATGTGTTAATACCACACTCAGGAAGTGAAATGTGTTAATACCACACTCAGGAAGTGAAATGTGTTAATACCACACTCA